ATGGCTTACTTTGGCAGCTGTGTTAATAATTGTGTTTTAGTTTCTTTAAAATGGTGTTCCTTTGTCAAGCGGTATTTCTCTTATTTACAAACACACGCACTTATACACACCCACATGCTTTTTTTGTCTTTGGCTGCATATTTAGGATGTTATTTCAAGTTTCCATTGGTGTATAGGAATGACAAGGATTTTTTAATCAGGAAGTTATTAGTGTATGTTTCAGTAAAGGTCAATAACTCAAAAACAAATGTATCATGGGTCAAGAAAACAGTATTAATTGACATATCATAATGTATATTTAAACCACATGATGTTTTTATTGCACGTACCATCTTGTTCTCAGTTATTTAACTAAAAAGTATAATCTGCTCCTAATAATATCACCATTTAGAATTCTAAGTATGATGACCTTGCATCTAGACGAATAATCATTTTCATTAATTGCATCCCTATTGAAAGAACTTAATGACATATTCTTCAGAGTGAGCATGCCTGTTTGGAACAAGTATGCGCTGCTTAGTTAAGTTGTCTTCTTAACTAGTCCCGCTGTTGACACTTTCTTTCATCAAGTATGAATTGTAACAATTGCTTCTGTTGAAAGGCATCAAAGGCCAACTTGTAGTTAACAAAGTCGTTTTGCAAACAGAGATGAGTCACAAATGGTCACTGAAAGTGAAAGTTTAAAACATACAAACTAATAGTTATGGTAACACCTGGCAGTTAACCACATCATTAGTTCTATGATCTTTACATTACGGTTTTTGTTTTGGTTGATGGAAAAGGCCAACTGTTTCCTTTGTAGTTTTCAAATTCTTTAAACAGTTTATGTACTTTATATGAGATGAATATTAATCAGTATGCAAAGGTAATTAAGTTCTATTGTCTGTATTTTTAAATTATGCCCTAGCATCCATTTTGGTAAATAAAGTTTTTCCTTTCTATTTTAGATAGAGTAGGGGCAGATTAAAACCTCTCTTCTTTATTTTTGCCATCTGTGTCCTATTCAAGAGATTTCCCTGCACCTCTTGTCATGTAGGCACAACAAGAAATGAAAGAAAATCTCTCCAAAGCGAGGTAAATCCATCCATGACAGCTGTATCCCTGGAATGGGTGTCCCCATTGGAAGGTTTCATCTCTCTTCCTGTAGAAGTGACACCTTGAAACTTTAGATTTTTCTTCACTTTCGTTTTCTAGTGACAATTTTTATTAGGTAAAATAGAGACACAGAGGGCAGTACAGCTCTAACCCTTTTCACCCATTCCAAAATGAAAAACATTTTGGCTTTAGATGCAATAGACTTTCAGGTTACTTTAAATATTATTTACATGGTTTTTACATTTTACTTATACAGTACTAACAAAGAGGCAGACCGCTTGAATGCATGCAATACCATACACCCTCAACAAAGCTTGATAGTTCTCTTTCATTTTGTTTTGCCATTTAGCACCTGTTTGCTTTGAGCCATATAAATCAATCATTTAATGAATGCCGGAAAGCTGAAGTACATCAGAAAGGTATTCATAGGCACTCCTGTGTACAACATTTTTACTACTCCTTCACTTTTTTACAGTTTTAAGCTTCAGCTACCTGAACATGTGGGAGACCTGGATTGGGCAGATGTTGGCACCAAACTATACAAGTCTCGCCCTGCTTCTACTTGGATAAAGCACACACATATACCTGTCTTTTCGGCCACCGTCTTGGCCTCCCCTCTCCTGGCAAGAGGCACGCTCACACATTTCCTGGCCTAAGTCCTAACGATTGAAATAAAGGAATATCCGCACTCAAATGCATTTTCAGTACTTTACTGCAACTTCATGTTTTTTCCTGTAACATACTGTATTGACAGATCTTTGGCACTAGCATGAATATACATCCTGCAGCAGTCCTTTCAGTGCAGAGTACAAGTACATATTTAGCCATCTTCCCTCCATTCCTCTCCTAAAGAGCAACACAAAATTAGGACCACTTCTCAGTAATTACTAGGTCTGTAAGCTGAAGGCTATCCACCACTGAGCCACAGGACCCACAGCTAAACCTCAGGGGTGCAAAGGTATTTCTTTTAATATACTGCTACTCTATTCCAAATGTCCTTACTACTTTTTCCCAGCTGGACATGCTGCCTGATGTTATATTTTCCCAGGTCTCTGCTGCCACTCACATAGAAGACTCTGTCACAGGCCCCCAAGGCCATGTGCACCATGCTACAGGACCTGCAGTAGAAGGTTAGGAATAGACAAGGTGACTCCAGCTAGTCCTCACATGATCTGTGCCACTTCTACTGGGAATCCATTTCTTAGGGTGAGCTCAGTGTAGGATTACATTGTTGCAGCTCTGTGGTGTCCTGACCCCACCCACAGCTGGTATTTATATAGGAACTAACCTCACATATGACAGAGCAACTGGAAGGATCAAGCTTAACCACTTGCCTACCGGGCACTTTTACCCCCTTCCTGCCCAGGCCAATTTTCACCTTTCAGGTGAAAATTGTGCGGTCATGCAACACTGTATCCATATGAGATTTTTAGTATTTTTTTTCACACACATAGACATTTCTTTTGGTGGTATTTAATCACCACTGGGATATTTATTTTTTGCTCTATAAATGAAAAAAAAAAAATGAAAATGTTGAAACAAAATGTGTTTTTCTTTGTTTCTGTTATAAAAGTTTGCAAATAAATAATCTTTCTGCACAAAATTAGGCCAAAATGTATCCTACATTTCTTTGGTGAAAATAACCCAAATCAGTGTTTTATTATTTAGTTGGTAGGAAAGTTATGGAGTCCACAAACTATGGTATACATCTAAAAATCGATAAATCCTGATGTACTCATTTCACAAGGCCCAAAAATGCCAGGACAGTACAAATACCCTCCAAATGACCACTTTTTGGAAAGTAGACAGTCTAAGGTATTTAATAAGAGGCATGGTGTGTTTTTTGAAGTTGTCATTTTTTTGTCATGATTTTGTGGAAAATGAAGAAATTAAAAAAATGTTTTCACAAACTTTTTTTTTTTACATACTCTCACCAATGCAGGGCAGTGTCATCGTATGCAGCAGTGATCAGGGAAACTGACTGGCAACAGTATATAAAAATAAATACATTTTTAATTTTTTTCTAATTTTGTATTACATTTTTTTTTCTACTTCTGTAACCAGAGCAATACAATGTTACCATAGTAACATTGTACCACTCTGGGCAAGTGATCAGAATTTTATGATTGCTTATACAAACTAATTTTATTGGTATAAACAAGCATTTTTACTGAATGAAATTGATTCATTCAGTAGTTATTGTTGTGATCAGCTGTGATTGGTCATAGCTGATCATATGCTACAGATGGGCTGTCTGTACATGTCACCACTGTGAGCAATCACAGCTAACCGTACAGTTGTAAGCAATGAATGATATTAAAGGAAGCTGTTTATTGTTTACAACTGTCATGTGATCTACTGTAATTGGTCACAGTGATCACTTGACAGTGGCAGTGGGCTGGTGTAGTGTCCGGTGACAGATCGTGCTGGAGCATGGCCCTTGGGGTGTGCGCGAGGTGCATTCCTGGGAAGACGTCATATGATGTCCTCCCAGGATAATAGGGGTTCCCCTTGGCCGTCATCCTACAATAGGCCGGGCAGGAAGGAGGTACAGGTTCAATACACCTGCCAACAAGTATGCATGTTTATTAAGCAGCCAAGAGACATAGAAGCACGAGGGTGGTTGTATCACATTAGATGGTGGTGGGATGTGCAGCCAAATCTACCTTCCTTCATGTGTCTTTATCTTTTAATTCTTCCACAAACATGTACACTCAGTTTGTATATCAGTTTTTCTTGACTGGGGTGCCATCTAGGTTCATCAGGGGTGAAATAAAAGTAAAGCAATGAAAACAAACTGGTCAGGGAATCATAGGTGAAGTCATTGGTTGCTAAGATGTAGTCATCATTGCCACTAATAGCAGTCCCCATAAACCTCATCTTCTTTCACACTTCCTGGATGGCTCTTTTGGAAAGGAGTGAACAGAAAAATACAGAAAAGTTTGTTCTCTTCCTCTTTCTGGATGAGCTATGATCCACCTCTTGTGATTCATCACACCAGATACCTCTGATCCCTCTATATTCTTACCCACTTCTAATATTGTGCTCTGCTCACCACACTGACATGTGTAAGTTCAGGAGAGCTGCATGTCCCTGTCTCCATGAAGTTATGAAGTCCTTGGCCTGGTAGAGGTGCTGGAGTGCTTCAGTGGAGGCACATTATCCATTTATTATGACCATTTCAACAATCAATGTTTCATATGGTACAGCTGATGTCTTGTAGCAAATGGGTTAAAGTCGGGTTAAAAAAAAAATCATATACTGTACAGCTAGTGCACCTTAATGATATATTAATAAGATTTTTACGAATAAACAAAATTATGTTTTTGAATGTTGGTGGTCTTGATGTTTGCATTGCAAAGCTATCATATTCTAAGTTTTAAAATGGGGTTTGCATACTTTTAATCACTTGCCTACTGGGCACTTTTACCCCCTTCCTGCCCAGGCCAATTTTCAGCTTTCAGTGCTGTCACACTTTGAATGACAATTGGGCGGTCATGCAACACTGTACCCAAACAAAATGCTTAGCATTTATTTTAGACAGATAGAGATTTATTTTGGTGATATTTAATCAGCACTGGTTTTTTTTGTTTTTTTGTGCTAAAAAAAACAAAAAAAGGCTGAAAATTTTGAAAAAAAAAGTTTTAAAATTTTGTAAATAAGTAATTTTTTCTCCTTCACTGATGTGCGCTAATGAGGCTGCAGTGATGGGCACTGATAGGCTGCACTGATGGGCACTGCTAGGAGGCACTGATGAGGAGGAACTGATAGGTGGCACTGATGGGCATTGACAGGCATCCCTTGTCGGCATTGACAGGCATCACTCATGGGCACTGAAAGGCAGCACTCATATGTGGCACTGATGGGCACTGATAGGCAGCACTGATAGGTGGCACTAACTGGAACTGATAGGCGGCACAGATTGGAACTGTTAGGAGGCTCTGATTGGAACTGTTAGGAAGCACTGACAGGCACTGATAGGCGGCACTGACTGGCACTGATAGTTGGCACTGAACGGCAGCTCTGATGGTCACTGATATGTCATTGATGTGCACTGATAGGCACTGATATGTGGCATTGATGTGCACTGATGGGCACTGGTATGTGGCATTGATGGGGCTACACTGCTCATCAGGATGTACCCTTAGAGGAATGCACTGTCAGTGTGAGCAAAGGACTGCCGATAACTGGCATTTCCTATTTACATGTGATCAGCTGTGATTGGACACAGCTGATCACATGACAGCACCGATGTCATAGTTTATTTACTCTGATCGGTGATCTGCTGTGTCCCAGGGACACAGCGCACCACCACCAATCACTGTGCCACATGCACCCAGGGGTGCGCATGTGTAGTTAGAGTGGGAGGACGTCATATGATTTTCTCCCAGAACGAGAGAGCCACCACCCACCCATCTTTTCCTTAGATGGCGGGCGGGAGGCGGTTAAAGAATGTTGTGACTAAAAAATGGTTGAGAGAAATTGACATATGCTATAGAGAGGAGAGTAGAGTTTTACCATATGTGACAAGTGGTGAAACGTTTGAAAGCCAACTTGTGCCAAGTGTTTTAAGTTGTAGCAGGCACTGGTGCGGGTGATGGCAACAACAGTGATAAGTCTATACATGGGGCTGCATAGCCCATATTCCACACCAACTGAACCAATATAAAACTAAAACTGTATCTCCATCTCTTCCCTTATTTAGCTGATGACAGCCCAGGGAGTTGTCATTTGACAAGAAAAAAATTATTCATTTGCACTGGGTCCGTCAGGGTTTTTTGCAATGAGGGATATTTTACTTTTTAACAAAATAATTTTCACATATTTGTTTGTCTTTATTTAAAGGTCACATTGTTTTTGTTAATGGGTAGGGATGCTATGTAATCGTTATTCATTCATTTGGGGGATGGTATCTGGGGACTCCCTTATTTTTAAAGACCCCCACAATTACTGGGCCAGGGTTGTGTGAGGAGACCTTTGTTCTTATCAACATTGGGGTCAAGGTGCTTTGTCTGGGGAACACCCATTGTTGACAGCATGTGGCCTGGTATTGTTCAAGAAGGGGTTTTCTTGTCTAACCAGGCTGCTTTCTTGAATTAAGTTTTTGATGTTAATTTTTAGGGGAACTCAACAAATTTTTTATTGATTTTTGTGTGAGGTTTCCCAGAAGAGTCTGGTATGGGATCTGGAATGGGATCTGTAGGTACCTTCAGGTCTGGTATGAATTCTGGGGAACCTCTATGCCCAATTTTTTCTGGACATCCCTAATAATATCTATTTCAGACCCTCATCTAGAATAAAGGTCTGGTATACATGAGATGAATACCTGGCCATGTAAGCAAAGGGGCTGCAGATATTTAAAACAAAAAATGCTGTGGGGTTCCCCCAGAATTCATAACAGGCCATTCAGGTCAGGTCTGATATGAATTTTAGGTGTAACCACACAAAAAATGTAAAAAAAAAGGATGGGGTACTCCCAAAAATTCATACCAGACTCCTATTTGAGTATGCATCCCAGTTAGCAATCCTGAACCATACCAGGCTACATGCCCTCAACCAAGAGGGGTATCATTGAATGTCTTTGACTAAATATGGCCATGTTCAAATATGATCAATGACATCACATGGGAGTCTCAGCTCCTTTGTATATATCAGCTGCCATCTGCTGAAGCTGCCAGAAGTGGGTGGGCAGGTGTTGTCATAACATTGTGTCAGTGGGAGATGGGCTTTTTTCTTTCTGTGAGTCGGTGGGCATTTGGAAGCATTATTGACATGGATCTTGCTAGATAACAGTGGATGTAGATCATGGGGACTTATTTTACATCTACATTTAGAAAGTTTTTTTTTCGCAGCCCCGGAGCAACTGAAATGCTAAGCACATTTGTAGAGCTGGAAATTGCTATGGTAGACATACAAGTACCAAGTAAAAAAAAAGTAAAATAAAAATTATATATCCTGGATAGTTCACCATTTGTGAAGGAGAGACCAAGCAGATTGCATTTGGATATAGAAAATTAATTTGGAGACTGAAGATCGAAAAAATTTAATCGTTTTGCATGACAGCTATTAAGCCTATGGACTGGCTGCAATTGAATGGGTGTTTGATCTGAAAAAAAATTAGTGTCTTGATTTGGAGACTGAAGACTTACAGTTTTGCACCAGAGCTACTAAGTATGTATGGACAGGCCACAGTTTATCAATAATTAAGCAGGCATAATTGTGTCTGGAAATGAAACATTTTGGTCTTGTTTTTGATTGAAAAAAAGAAAAAAAATTTACAGATTTGAAGCACACATTTGAAGCCTTTAATGGATAGTCCTTTATTTCTGAGAGGTAAAGCAAGCAGATTGCACCTAGAAATAGATTTTTTTTTTCAGAGACTGGAGATAAAAAAATGTGACAGATTTGCAACCCAGTTTTTAAGCCTCTATGGACTGGCCACAATTTCCAAGGAATTGAGAAGACATATTAGCTATGGAAGTAAACATTTTGTGACTTATTTTTGAGAATGAACCTGGGTATTTTTCTCAGACAGAAGGAGAAATACACATATTTTGAGCACAGCTTTTCGGACAGGTTGATACATTGATAGTTTTGAGGTAGAGAGCAGGTAGATTGCATCTGGATGTAAAAAAAAGTTCTTTTTTTTAACTGAATCCAGAAAAATATTAACAATTTTAAGCACACCTTTTACGTTTTGGATAATCCGCAATTTCTGATGGTTTGAGCACACCACATCTGGACATGACATTTTTTTTCTTTTTAATAAAAATTTTAGACAAACTAAGTTTAGAGAATTGCATTCTCTGCTTTTTTAAACCTCTTTGAATAGGCTGCTGTTTCTGTGGGAGAGAGTAGGCAGATTTCCACAATAAATATGAAATTAGACTGTATTTTTATGAAGACTTAATATAACAGTTATACCCCTTGTGCTGCAGAGAATCTTATTTTTATTAATAGGTGGCAATTGTAGGCAGAGAGTAAGCCTATTTCACCTAGAAATATTACATGAAACATGTATATTTTCAGGCACAGAAAAATGTATGGATTTGCTGAACAGGGTCTCACCCTTTTTAAAAGGAGGCTGATAGTCAGTTTATTTAAGCCAGAAATATTACATAAAACTATATAGTTTTTTTCAGACACATATTTTATCAAAACTGAACATAATCTCATCCTTTTTAGAGCAGGCAAATTTGTAGGCAGATACTAGGTATATTACAGACAGTAATATCACTCGAAACTATATACATTGTTAAGATTAGCACAATTCTATAGATTTAATGAAAGCAAAAAGATGGCTTATTTCAGAAACATTAAAAATGAGACTTTTTTCATAATCACTTTATTAAAATTGTATAGATTTCCTGAACATGATCTTGTCCTTTTTAATGTGAGGCATATTTCAGCCTAAATAAATTTTATAGAGCTGTATATTTGTAAAGACAGTATATAAAAATGTTACAGGTTTAATGGGAGGCAATTTTGAGGCAGAGAGGAGAAATATTTTAACATGACAATTAACTGAAACTGTACGTTTTTCAAAGGTGCTTCATAAAATATCTTTGTGATGTAGGAGCACTGAACCTAATGGAGATGCGTTATAACATAACGGGTGGTTTGAGATCCTAGAGGCTGCTCACCAGCAACTGTGGGGTCTACCTTCAAATGAGTTTCCCTGAAAATATTTTTGAGAAGTGCACAGAAAATTTTATTTCCCTAATGATCCTTAAAGAAGAGGGAAGATAAAAGGAACAATATTTATTTTAATGTTACAACTGAACGCAACTATTGGCACAATCAAATAATTGGTAATCATTCTGTACTTTATCCAAATCTAAGAAAAAAAAAAAAAAAGCTTTGACTATTGCTCATTAGAGAATTGTACCTAATGACAAGATTTACTGCTTAGCTGCTGCAAATGACAGCAGAAAAAAGATATATTTATAGGATATACAAATGGACCATATGGGAACACACCAAACCTCAACAAATGGTGCATATGAAGACAAAAGTTTTAGTACAATCTATCAGACTTTTGTACATTTTCTCCTTTAGCTTGCTGATCTGACCTTGATAAAGTCATGGTATAGGGAAATAAGTTTTAGTTAGTTCTCAATAGATATGACTGCTTTTTCTCAAAGGAAAAAGTAGTGAAACTATTGTTTATATGAGCCATTGATGTAAAGTAAACAGCGGTTGTGCATGCTGATCATGTAAAGGCCAAGTACACTTTGCACTGAAGGATGCAACTGACAGAACTCACTTCTAAAATAAACAAAGTACCCTGATGATAACTTTTCTGTATAATGCTGGCGATATATGTTGTCACATGACCCCTTTTGCAAGTGCTCAGCAAAGATAGGAAAAATCTCTTGAGAAACTTCTTATACAAATCACACATGCTCATTTTGTTATTGCATAAAGAATAACATATACTAAACTTTAACTGTAAAACAAAAATCAATGTAAATAAAGACTTGGAATAAACAACTAGTAATCTACATCAATGTTATATATTCAGTATCTTTCTATCAAAATTTGCATAGAAACATTTTTGTTTACACCTATATAAACTGGACAGTCGTATGAAATTGAGCCCCTCTCTACTGTGCAAAATGTTTAAATGCTCCCTTTCACTTTTTATAAATACATTAATCTCTTAATTAATTAAAAAAAGGGTTTATTTAGAACAGACATTTCTTGTAGAGAATATAGTATTTTGTAACTTCCTGTACATACTTGTTTTGCTATTGTATTTGCTGTTTTCTTTACAGGTACAGATGTAGAAATTGTATTTTTCGCAAGGGTTGAAACCTTGTAGAAATCTTGTAGTTAGTGTTACTAAACCCACAACCCTGCATTCACTATATCTTATCGAGACATTTTATCAAACATTCATCATTACTTGGCAGTTTTTGACAACTTACATAAACTTACATAAAATATCTTTTATAAGCCTTTGGTAGCAGCAGAAGCCATTTTAACTCCAGAAGCCATCTTAGCTGCTAATGGAGTAGAATACATTCACTTAATGATATATGCTAGCAATAATAGCCATGTCTAATGCAATAAACCTTAATATATATAGATATATATTAATTAATTTAAACACTCTTATTTCATTATAATATATTACTATGATGTAGGATATAGTAAGGATCACCTTTATCCCTATACACTGGTCTCCCACAGTACACAAAACATGGAAATGCAATTATATTACTAAATATAAGCTGCTAAATACCCTTTCTCATCAGTGGTATATAGATGTTTTGTG